GAAACAGAATAATCTACTGTACTTAGCTTTTACAAATTTATTTTTGTATGTTCCTTCTCAATCATTCAAGGATGATTGTTAGCATTTCTGCTCATGGAATCTCAGTAGTTTGATACTATTCCTATTGTCTTCCTAGTATGAGATGTTGCTACACCACTGACGGCAACAGAGCCATTGTTCRTACTGTGCTGCAAGGCTTTTGATCTGCAGAAACTCTCGAATTTTGCTCTACCTAAAAGTGTCATGGCTTGTATACGTGACTTCTTTACATGCCGAAGGCAACAACTTAAACTCTCATATTATTGCTACTCTGATTGGGGGTCATCAACACAGGAGTTCCACAAGGAACCTTGCAACATATACGTAAGCTTGAAGTGAATTGAAAACAATAGAAAGCAAAGGAATAGAAACGAGGCCTAAGGGCCCTGCAGCAGTTTACTTTTACTTACACAATATTTCTAGGATACAGAAGTTTCTAACACAGGAAATAACGGAAAAGTTGATTCATGCATTTGTCACCAGCCGGTTGGATTACTRTAATTCTCTCCTATACGGCCTGCCAAGCAATCTACTCAGTAAACTTCAACGTGTACAAAATGCTGCAGCCAGACTAGTTTACAAAGCGCCAAGATTCTGCCACATCACCCCACTATTGGTTATATCGCCCATTTCTGTTATTGTCATATCAGGTTTTGTCCATCATCTAAGCCTAATTATTTTAGATTTAATAGTTGTTTCCTATAATCAGTCAAAACATTTAGCACAGTTGCAGGCTTATTACCAGACTATTGATAAKAGAGGTTGGCTCCAGGTCTCCTATGGCGATCATTGGCCAAAAGCTGTTGAAATCCCCTTCARAATTAGGTCATTTTCAACATTGATATTTGGGTTATTTTGAGGGTTTATAATCTAGTTTTTTTTAGTTTATAAATATACTTTAATGCTTTCTGAGTGCAAATTTGTGGTCCTTTTTGTTGTGTATTTTTCATCTGTTAATGATTGCTGTCCACAGAGTAGTAATCCTCCAATACAACATATTTCTTAACAATCAAAAGAGTGGGGTCATGTCAAATAAGACATGGTCAAGGGGTGGGCCATTTGAAAAAAAATGTATCCAACTTGTTTCATTTTTGAGAAAGTTCCAAAAACCAACTGCCCCCACTCCTGATAAAAAATRWATGGTCATGGGGTCAATGCTTTTGTTGATTTTCACTTTCACCAGTGTTTTTGTTCATGACAAAAAATGATTTGATGAGGAAGGTTGTACATATGTACATGTATACTGTCTCAAATTATCAATAATCATAGCTAATGTTGCTGAAAATAACTGTATGTTATTTCATATAATATAAAAATGGGTTTTGACATTTTGTTTGAAGATTTGGGAATACATGATTTGTTTGGAAGACTCTTTGTACCAAATGGTTTTATTAATTTTTCACTGCATATTATTTTTATTAGGCATTATCCAACAACTAAACACACAGTAGTCTCAGATACTCCTGAAAATCTACGCCTTGCCAAGCAATCAAAGCAACAAAGTCTGGTAAATTAATTATGCAATACAAATGTATGACATCAAGTGYTTTTATGTGCATCAAACAAGTTCAATATTAAAACCATAGCAACCAACAAACCACATATTTGTGTAAACATTTGATGGAAACAGTTCAATCTGAAACGTGCATTTGTAAGTCCATTTTTGATAGTAAACAAGGCAATAAATTTTTACAAATACATGTAGCATATTTTTCACATCTTTTTAAGGTTGAATATCATAAAGATTTTGAAAAAGAAAAAGGTCATTTTACAGCTGTAGTGGATGATCCAGAGACTTTGAGGTTGAAGAAAAACACAGAAAATATCAGTAGTATCAAGTATACTGGGGCATCAGCTGAGATGAGATGTGGAACATCTGAAAGGGGTGCAATAGAAGCAGGTATATGGGGYTAAATAAATATTATAGTATATTCATTTTATCTAACAAATATTTTGTAAGAAGTTGCACAAAATAAGTTATTGTATGAAAAAAATAGACAAGATTTTGTTATGTTGTGCACAATTTTGCTGCAAAACTATTTTTACCCTACGAGCAGAGGATTTTTCCACCCCATTCTGCAAAGAAATAGCCYGAGTATCAGGCTCTCTCGAAGGGGTTTGGGTCGGAGCGAGAAAGGAGAGAGAGCCTGACACAATCTTCTATCAAGAGGCRTTCCGCCTCCTTGCAATGCGTGACGCGTGACAATAAATTTAAGCCRATTAAAAGCTGTTCCGGTTTGCTTGATTTCTCGATGTGGCGGTTATATGTCAAAATTTATCTAGTCCATGATTTTAAAAGTCGCAGCTTTTATGCCGATTTTACCAGATTCTCAACTTGTGGACGTCTAATAAGCTCTAGAGGATTGATCACTATACGTAATCTTGAATTGTTTTACTCCGTTATAGGTCGGTGTAATGTTAGTGTTATATGAGACATTTCCGTTAGTCGGTTTGTTTTTGTACGCGTAAAAACAAACCAATTCAAGAACGGCTTGATAACGTAGTAAAAAAAAGAATAAAAGACAAGCCTCTGCAACCAGGGTACTATTAAAGCTTTCACAAATTGTTATTCACTTAATATATCAAGAGTCATAGCGTCGTTCGGTAACATAATAATTATATATATTTTAATTCCTGTCACTTCCTTTGTCCTCTAGACCAATCAGCATTTCGGCCATGAAACGGCCGCCGAACACGGCTCTCGATAGAAGACTGTGTCAGGCTCTCTCTCCTTTCTCACTCTGCCCCAAACCCCTTCGAGAGAGCCTGATACTCAGGCTATTTCTTTTCAGAATGCAAATATTGCAATATATAGAATAGAATATATAGAATGCAATATTGATAACAATGTCTGTTGTTGGAGCCTGCACAATATAGTTAATATGTTATTAATATCATTATTATTATTGGGGAAATATTTATGAACTTTGGGAGTCTTGCTTGCTGTAATACAGTAGTTACTGGTACTTATATAATTTCCTTTTATAAAGGAGTTGAAGGAGTTAACCCACATCAGCCTGGTTTCGATAAATACCAGCAGCCACCAATGCAGTCATATTCAGCTCCTCCGGAACAACGTCCACCACCAAATAAGGTATTGTACTGAATAAAACATCAACAAMTCTTTTAGTAACAAATGTTACCATGGCCACCCAAGCAAAGTTTGTTTAGGTTAATCAATCCAAAAAGTTAAAAGAATTGTCAATTAAAAGAAAGTCTAAAAAAGGGCGGATTCAGCCATGAGACGATATATTCACACACCCAGCTAAAATATACTTCCATGAAGGATGGGGTTTCTATGGTGTGTCAAGAGTTTGAAAAGTGGATTTTCTATGAAACAAGACCCTGATTTCAGGGTTGACTCGTGCCTTGACAATGAGTTGGCAAGAGTCTTTGAGTGAATAATTGAGCTAGTGATGAACAGCAAAAAAGKAAATGATGTAGTTGCCATGCAACCAATTTCATCTGTGAAGCTGCATACATTTTTAATAAACTTACAACAAGATCAGATGGYTGTAAGACTTGCAAYTGATCATGGTTATTTRCCAAAACAACACATTCAAGACCTCTCATGGCATTATTGCAGTTAGTTTAGTCATAACTATACCAACATTCTCATTTTCTATTCAACTTGAAATAATAGATTGCAGCATGGTCCTTTGTATGACACATAATGAAATTCTTCAAGATGGCCAATATTGATTTCACTAGAATTATCCTCTACACACGTTGGGTCTAATAATAGTGATTGGTGCAAATCCTTCATTTGATTCTGTTATGTTGAAAGTAACATTCAATGCATCTGCTACTGCATGTTTGATCAGTGCATCAGCTCATATATCTTTTTTTTAATTCTGCAATGAGCACTCTCATAATCGTCTCAGTCACACTGAAATGTGGGATGATATTTGGTCCAAATTGACCGAGTAGCTCTGATTCCAAGTTACTACTTCGTACTGCTAAGCATGATAAGCGTCTTGGCATTATACTTGCAAATGTAAAAACTACTTTTCGGGGTTGAAGTTAAGGTTCGTTAACTTCACCATTGAATAGAACTGAAAAGCAATTGACGTTCATGGTGGGAAATCAGTAACAATGGTCRGATTGCACTGTTTGTACTGTTGTTCTGCGAAAACCTTTTCAATGACACAATAAAGTACTTGATACGTATCCACTCTTTTCATGTCACATTCCAATTCATGCATGAATTGTTTGTTGCAATGTTTATATTACTTCTGATTGAAAACATTGGAGCATGCAAAAACACAAGAATTCAAATTTGCTCAAGCTCAAAGTAATAGCATGGCTTCCTCGGGAGATTAKGGATTAAATGTCCCTCAGCCTTGGGCAGATAAGTAAAAGTCCCTCATTTAATTCACAATTAATCCCTAATCTCCCTCAGAGCCATGCTATTACTTATAATAGTCCTAAAATGTGAATTTTATTCACATTGAGACTAACTAGCTGTATTTCCAAAATTCTTTATTTTTCTAGCCAAGATATAGAGCAATATATGATTACACTGCAGCTGATGAGGATGAGGTTAGCTTTGTTGAAGGAGACATTGTCATTGAACCCAACATCATAGATGAGGGCTGGATGGAAGGCAGAATTGAAAGAACAGGCCAGTTTGGTATGATACCCGCAAACTATGTGGAACAAGTATAACTATTCTATTTTGAACAATGAACATRTGTAGTGCACCTTCTCTCAAGACAAAGCATCTTAAAGGTTGCTTTGATGCTGAAATCAGGCTTTAGGAACTACATATTTTGTAAATGATGCCATTAGTAATTACTAATTTAAATTCTAGCTCTCAAAGTATTATTTTTTGAATTGGTAAAACTATATATTATTTTTCTTGCTGAAAAATATGCAATTCTTAGACAATGTCAAAAAAGTTTTTTGATTTACTCTGCATTTTTACATTTTTGACACCATGACCAAGTCTGACTCACTAAAGTATAGTGAATTGTCTTGTTTTTTGTTGTTGTTGTTGTTCTGTCAAAATGTCACAATTGGAGTATCAAAATCATGCCTGTAGTCCTACCAATTTGTAATCTACTAGCATAATAATTATTTTGTCCATGATAAGGTTTTGTGTGAATAAACTATGATATATATATAGTCTTCGTTATTTGTACAATATAATACATCTCTACACTCTGGGGTTTGAAGAGGGGTTTGAAGAAAGAAATATGTTATGGTACACACTGACTAATTTCAGACATATACCTCCCACCCGTATTCCCAAGAATAGTCCATCTTGTCACAACATTATGCCTGTATAATTAACTTGCATTGAATTCTGTAGAAAATAATGGTGGCCCTCCCTAGGAAAGAAAATAAAAAAGTGTCCCTCCCTTGAATAGGATATGAAAAATTATGACCTTCCCCCAAAAATATACCAAATATTTTACCACACTTGTGAGAATTTTTGGCGYTGATTATGACATAGTGCACAGGCTCAGTTGAAAGAAAAGAGTGATTTTCGCTTATCCCTGGCTAAAAATTTGGTAAAAATAAATACGAATAAAGCMATGGATACATWCARTCAACTCTCTCGTAAGTGACCACCTCGGGATCAGGAAAAAGTGGTTGCTTACGAGAGATGGTCGTTTATGAGAACATTAGCACAGGAAACCCAAACAATGATAATCATAATAGCACAAGAGGCCCAAATAGTTCAAAAGCACGTTGTTCCTATTTGTATGTGTTTATAAAATGATTGAATAAAATTGTGCAATTTGAAATACGACTATTAAGGATAAATACCACTTCTCTAAGCCATTCAAATTTAWCAATTTTATTCAATCATATTATAAYGGTGTATGATGCGCTAGTCAATTGAACCCTAGCCTCCTTTAGGGGAGAAGCGTTGMGTGACGACACAGGGGCGGCTGCTAAAGGAGGCTAATTGAACCCCTACTGGGCTAGCGGGGCACTGAGCAGGGATGTGACGCCTTTTTAACASGCTTTAGTCTAGTCAAGTCTAGTCAGCTTTCCAAAACAACTATCTAGCGAATTTCTAGCGCGAGGAGCAAATACRCAGACTTTTTCATCAGCYGACATGATGTTCATGAAAAATTGAAGTGACAGTTGGCTTTGAAATGAGAAAAAGAGCATTAAGCTGGCTTCCAAAAAAAAAAAAGGTGGGAAAAAAATGCGCGCGTGGCAATATCTTTCGCGCTTTTTTTTTCTAGTTAAACAAAAAGTATTAACTAGGAGCGTATCTTTATTATTATATCACTAACATAACCAAAAAGCATCAAATGATAGATAAATATTGTTTGAAATGTAACTTTTTTTATTACAAGAAGATAAACGAGCTAAAATTCAATAATCAAGTCTCTTGACCGATTGCTTGTTGTCCTYTGTTGATATTTATACGGTGAGTCGGCTTCAATCGCTTCGTTTGAAAARTCGCATCAAAATAAAAAAAGTTGCATTTCATGTGRTATTTAAAAAAAACGAGTAGGAGTGTTTTATCTCAAGTTATAAACAAAAACAAAACATGAGTTTTAGAGGCGACTCTAGTTATAACACTCATGCATAAAACATCAGTGTTGTAACTGATTTACAGACACTCGATGTATGCCCAACACTAGAAAAGTTCTCAGTTTTAGACTCATCATAGAACTTCACTAGGTCTCTAGTTAAATTACTTATTTGCAGAGTCACAGTACACTAAAACACAGTGGCGCTTGGATGTGTGAAACCAAGTTGATTAAGCTCGTGCTCAGATGGAGATATCTTCATCAATTATTCATTTTTGATATTGTTTTATTTATTTCATGTTTATTGTAGTTTCTTAGGTTTGGGTTTTAGAAGTCATTTAAAAAACTCGTAGTTCGTGTTTTATCGTGGATATAAACACTCGGCCTTCGGCCTCGTGTTTATATCTCAYGTTATAGATCCTGTCATGTGACCCATAGTTGAATGCTCATTGGGAGAATGTCTAATGAATAATTCATGAGTTTTAGAAAGRGGTTTTTATTAATTTCAGGTTTTAGATAGCCTGCGTCACATCCGGAAAAAACACGGTTAAGTCCTGTGGTTTGTCCAGATATGAAGCAGGCCAGTTTTAGCCTCTTTTAGTCTAAGGTAGATGTGTGATTGCTTTGCAATAGTTCGTGAAGTTCTGTTTTCTATTYTATTATATAAACAGGAATCTCTAGCATGAAAATGCTTCCATGGAACCATTTGGCTAATTCATCAGTTTGCTGTTCAATTCTCGATTATTGCCTGTTCTGAAATTCAAAAAGGGACTGGTGACTAGTCACAAACTTKATCCCGTTGAAGCAATCAGAAAACAGACAAGAAAGGGCATACTAAAATTAATAACGCTGCWGAGTTTGAGCGTATTTGGATTAATAATTATAGAGTTTCAAGCGTTTAAAACTCAAAAAAAAAATACAAAGAAATATGTATGGAGGTTTTGAGCAGCGTCCCCAAAAACCATACATTCTCTCTTATTTTTACAAATTTGAAAAAATTCCTACTCGGTGAGTATTCAACCAAATATGCTCAAACTTTGACAAGAAGAMTTATTTTAGTGTGGTCTTTCATGTAGCGAGGTTCAGTTTTCAATGAATGTAATATTTTCACACTCGTTCCCAGTCTCCTTTTGAATTTCGGAATGGCCAATTGACTAACATTACAGTTACTTTATAAAAAGAAAAAAGACTATTCTAGTACTGTTCTTCAGTTTACGTATCTTTATTGCCCCATTAACTGGCAATGTGTGCTGTGGATAAAATCTAGTAGACGATTTCGCTCTAGCCGAGTCCCATGTTCAAGTTCAACATCAATGTCTTCCCATGGCCACAAGTATCGACTCATAAGTGATGTTCTGTGAGAGCAAAAAAAGTAAATATATCAAATGAAGTATTTCATATAGATTTAATTGTTGAGCATAGTTATGAATTGTTAATTTTTTGAGCATAACAAATAATCATATTTATTTACTTAGATGTTGAGAAACAGGATGCTCAAAAAGTTAGTTTATACAATTATTATATTTTATAATATGATCTGTTATTTGCTATTTATTAAATCATTACTAGTCCTACTATCTCAAATTGTAATCATTGTAGGGCTTCATCTGCCTTTAGATTGGCACTTGCCCTATTTGCAGATGATGTATCTTCACAATTCTTATACAGTTATRAATAAACATGATTTACTAATAATTGTTTGAACGTAAGATGATTAGCAATGTCATTCGATTTAAACTTTTGAAGAAATTTTGACACACTGAGATTATTACAGCAATTATTTTTAGTGCCGACTGTCACTTGCATTAATACCAATCACAACGTCAGACCCTGCTATAAGTAAATTGTTATAGTACAGTCGAMCCTYGATTACATGTATCCATACCCATTGGGACTGGACTGAAAAGTCAAGATAATCGAGAATCGGAATGATCAAAAATATGAATATTAATGAGGCAATAGTGTACACAATTAGTAGAAAAAATATAGAAAATTAGTGAGTAAATTAATATAAAATAATATAAAATAATAAGATTAAATTAATAATTCTGAACACAAGGAACACAGGCTCAAGTTTACAGGAAGTGACTGACTTAGTGAGTGACAGATTCGTCCCCCTCCAATAACTCCTTAATTGCTTCGCAATCTTTGAGTTAAAAACTTACTTAAATGAAGCAATTGAATCCTTAGGACAATCGTACGTGGAAATTGTCTTCTGTTTGTTGAAGAAATACAACTTTTTCTGTGATTTGCTAAAACAGTGAGTCCAGGGCTCTACAAACAAGAGAAATTTGAAAGAGAAAAAAGAAATTAATATAAAATAGAATTTATCAAGAAACTATAGYATAATCGGGGAACATCACCTTGTAACTAGAAACCACATATGTTTTCATCATAGGATTTTGAAAAATTATGCAGCTATTTATTTTTCATTCTCTCAAAAGGAGGSAGAGGAAGGTTTGGTTATTACGTCGTTTAAACATATTTAACATAAATAATGCCTCAGGTGCAAAATAACTTTTGAATTGGAAATATGTAGATAATAAAGGTACAGAATCTGTAAGTCAGCATTTAAATGTAGTCTTGAGAAAAAGCAAAAACTCATGATCAATAGGATTGAAAATGTGTCCATCATACACCCATGGGTGGAGCAAACACCCCTATATTTGCTAAACAGGTATGTGCCATGCTRAAAGATATCATGGTTTTTCGGCTTTGACATGTCTGGGGTAGGTTATCCTTTTTTGACTTTTTGTCTTGGATAGGTATGGTATTTTTCTCGGATAGGGTTACAATTTACAYGTTTTTGTCTGAAATAGAAGTCTTGAATAAGCCATGCTTTCGGTTGACACAGAAACAATGTGCTGCCACTATTAAATTCTGTTTAATTTAAGTTAGCAAAATAGGGTGTACAATTCTTAGGTCTAGTCTGGGATAGGGTATGAAAAATCGGTATTAATATTTTTGGGTCCCCCCAGAACGATATAGTTTTTGTGACCCATGCTCTGGAATACATTTAAAAAGCCAATTAGTCATTTTCAAAAGACAATTAGTCATGAGATTTTTTGCACGCATTTTATAGCCCAGTCCTTATTTGATAAATATTTACCCATTAGTAAGGGTGTATTATCAATTTTGGGATAATTGCCTCGAAATGTTTATCAATCACCTTTCATACACAGCAATTACCTTGGATGTGTTTGATAAAGTATATTCCTCTTGGAATAAAATGTCTTTCATCATTGATAGAAAAACATTCCCTTTGTCCACGTCGTCCTTTCACAGTTCTAATCTCAAGCCTTAAAAGAAAGAAATAATATCTTATTCAGCCACTATTAATAAAAAAGATAACTATGTAGCTTAGACTGATATTAGGGAGGGAAAACTTCTCACTAATTTGCAAAAAACATTTTTTCCATGCATCTATGATTATTCTGAGGATGTTAAAAAGTATGATTTCACAGACATAATACCTATGGAAGATATCCTTGACTCCATCTAGTCGATAAGTCTGCTTTGCACTGTTGACCAGTAAAACAAATTTACTTATAATATTTTAAGAATGATGCTTTCTTCAGTTTGTAGAAATAATAGCACTTAATCTGTTAAACTTTTAAGTTAATGAAACAATATTCTAATATAATTACTAATTGTTACTAAACAGTGTCTATTGGAAAGTAGGAAACAAAGTAGACTCCCCGCAAACGGCTGTGGGGAGTCTAGAAACAAAGGAKCTAGCATAGCTATTTAGGGCTTATTTTGGGTGTCAACTCTCCTGCTGTGGATAAATTTGGGAGTCTCAAGATTTTGGACTAAATCTTGGAATGTCCTGGATAATTTATTGACTGTGGTGTTTTAGATACAAATCCAATCTTAAACTTAACATTATTTGAATTGCCTATGCCAGAATGCCATTGCTATATATATAATATAATATATGCATTCAAAAACTCATACATAATTAATGAGTTATTAGGCCTATTTGGTCACATGCATGGATCTTTATATCTGACAAAACACTCCTTATTAGTATTCTTTATATAAAGAAGACTAATAAGGGTGACCTTTATCRGATATAAAGGTGCATGACCCTAGCAAAGGTTTTAGKTTTGAAACCTAATCATTGACCAATGCAGGATGTCAACTGATTGCAGTGAACAGCCAAGAGYGGTTCTATTTTACTTRTGCGTATTCAATGTGGGATGACAAGAGTGCTTTGTAAAGTGATTTGCRCATGATCAGTTTGGCCTATTTATCTCAGAACAYATTTGTATGTCAATTTCTCCAAGAGAGAGTGTTTTAAACTTACATAATTAGGTTTATTTAGTCACTACAGGTCAAAATGCATAGACTGAACAGCTTTCTTTCTTTATTATATGTATCACACTCAGTGAGCCCTTTTTGCATGAAAACCTTTAAAAGTTATCMACTTCAACATRAGTTTTATTTAATATTATAATGTAACTCACCGGATAGGTGCCAAATCTTGCCTTGTTGGTTTGTTCAATGCTTTGGTAAACAGTAGAGCTATGGCCATCCTAACAATAGAAACAACACCACAGAGACAACAACACATCCAGTAAGTACTTGACTAATAAAACACTAAAAAAAACCTCACATTTTTTAGAAACAAATTACCTCTCTCTTTGATGTTTATCTCTGACATCTATACCACCCAGAATAATCACATCAAGGATGTGAATTGCTTTTGAGCGCTTCTGTCCTTTTCCCTTAATATAATTTGAGCAGACATAATAATATCATTTCTTAGAGACAGCATGGTTAYAATTGGCCAGAGCATTGGTCTCTTTTAGAATCTCATAGTCCCAGATTACATTCCTGCTCTGGCTGTTCCTGAGTCATTATTTGTTCATGTAAAATGTCTCTAATGTACTTCAATCTGTGTTGAGCTAAGTGGGGTTGACTACCTTAAAGTGCACATGACACCTTTTAGAAAAACACTTTTTCCTAACATTCCCTCAAGTCCCAATAATGATTCAGCACACAGAGTGCGGTGGTCGGTCCAAGCCAACGAATCACATTTTATTGGCAAAGCAAACACAAATATCTTATTTAAATTTTTTCGAGAACTAGATCTAGTATTATAAGGCATACTACAGTAGAAACTAGAGAAATTTTAAACGCTTGTAATGTACTAGAGTCTTGGACCACAATGATTGAGAAATACATTTCTCAATCACAACACTATCCTAATTAACATAAACACAATAGATAGCTAGKCCCAGGGCCTTTCGTCCATTAAGGAAATTATTTCTCTTCCAGAGAAATACATTATCCGAAAGTTTACACGCTGCCAACTACTTCTGCAAAAAAAGAAATAGATTTTGAATTGTATTTTCTGAGTTATAGACATTTGAAAATTGAAAATGCAAATGAAGTGACGTCAACTAAGGAATTGGTCCAGACTTTTTACATTGTTTGCGCTATGCTGTTCTTGGTTGAAGAGCACAAATCATCAATCATAGTAATAATTGAGAGCTGAAAATGCTATTTCCAATGTAACAAAAAGAATAACGTTCTCTTTCATGATTTTGTATATTAAATCATTCCTTAGTAGACGTCACTTCATTTGCATTTTCTAAGTTTTAATCGCCCATAACTTACAAAATACAATTTGAAATCAATTTGTTTCTTCACAGATGAACTTAGCAGTATTTTCTCTTTTGGATGAGAATGAATTTCTAATGGTGTCATGTGCACTTTAAACAAAAGTCATTTGTTTCCTTTTATTGCTCCAAAAGCTTACTACATGTAACAAAGTGTTTCAAATCCACTGATGTACTTCAGTAAAAGCAAGTACAACATAATCCCTAAAATTATATTATTCCTTCT